TTCGCATGACTGCAAGTTAGAAATGGAAAGCAGTTGACTGTTTAGTTGCTTCGTTTTCACTCTGAGAACCAAATTAGGATTGTGTGTGTATACATGTATATATTATATATACATATGTATGTATATGTTCTTGGATATTTCACCTAAGTCAGCTTTAAAAGCAATACATTTTTTTTCTCTTTTTTATAATTTATGTACTTCATGTGAAGTTGAGAAATTTCCACATATGTGCTTTGGGAAATCCTGTAAAACGTTTGCTTTAAAAAAAAAAAAAAAGTTTCAGCTGTTTTGCTCTATATACTCTTTCTCATACTCCCCTTAAAGCTTTTCAGTTTACCACTTGCTAGTAGTTTCTTAATTTTTATGATTGCTTCAAGAGAAAAAAAAAGATTGATCCTGTCAGTCAAAAGAACCAGCTTGTAATAACACCCGTGTTTATCTTGTGGAACAGACAATAATAAAAGCTGTAGGTGCCGCAGCAGTAAGCAACACCAGGGAAGCTGCTGGTTTGACTCATGCAGACTAGGCTTGTTGCTCTGTTGCTACAGTTGAATTATAATAATGGGAACAGCCCCAGGAAGTGCTTGTGGTGCCCATTTACTGGAATAGCACAACTAGGAAGAACATTTGGCCCTAATTGGATAAGGGTAGATGTACTCAGGATGGGCCAGAACATTGTATCAAGGAGAAACGAGGTGAAACTGCGGAAGGAAACGGGCAGGCTCTTCAGAAGCGCCAGTGTCAGAGGAATAGCGAGGAGTGGAGCTGCGCGAGCTCGGAGGGAGGCGGCACCCTGTGAGAGACGCCCAGCGCCAGGCCGCACAACGCGCTGCTGTGCTCAGGGGTCTGACCGGGAGGTCCTCGTGTGGAGTTTCATCCTTGAGGCGCTTCTCCAGAGTTCTTGATCTCCCCCTGAAGAGGGTCATGAGGGGAAAGTAGTGCGACCAGGCCTGCCACATGGGGCAGTTTTGCACAGGGGAGCCAGGGGAAGGGGTGGCTGTTCCAGCTGAAAAGGGACTGTGGGTCTCCCAAATGTGTTATTTCTTGCTGCAGCCTGAATTCATCTGTCCTTCTGGTGTGTGCTTCGGGCAGCAAGTGCTGCTGAGGTTTCATGAGCAAGGGCCCCTGGCTCACCATGGGATGTTTATTTGAAAAGAGCCGCTATACCTGAGATACATGTCTGAAGGAAGCTCCCATTCAAGAACATCTTGATCTGGGAGTCTCCAGGACTGGCTCAGTCACTGCAGACATGACTGAACCATTGACAGCAGTAAAGGAGAAGCAGAGATGTTTTACTGCGTGTCAGAGTTTCCCCCCGCCCCAGGCTATTACTCACACCACACTGGATGAATATTCAGAAGGACCTTTCTTAAGCTCTAATTAGCTGTAGTCTTAACGGCTCTGGGGACTCACCAGCTTGCTTAGTGAATGTGGTTACATCTCCCTCTTTTGGCTACCACAGGACAGTGACAGCCTGGAGTCAGGAAAACTGTGGGGGTTTTTTTGGTTTTTTTTGTTTGTTTGTTTGCTTAGCAATCTATATTTGCTGTTATTTAGCTATGGGGACTGTTATGTTGCTGCGATAGAGTATAACTCTAATTGGATATATAGAAGGTTAGCTCTAAAGACTTATTCCTAGAGGAGATGGTTAGTGATGTCTGTGAGTTTTTTTCTGCATACTACAGACATTAGGACAGTGGCAAAGAAGGGATTTTTAAGGCAGATGAATTAGCAGTAGGTGAGCACAATACTCCCGTTCCTTCCTAGGGCAACTACTGGAAAACAGTGAAGCAACCTAAGTGATGCATGAGGTGGCTCATGGTTGCTATGTGGTAGCACCTCTTCCTTTTCCCTCAGCCCTTCAAGTGTACACACTTTGTCACTAGAAATATGCCTGGGATTGGCAGCTATTGTTTGAACAATCTGCTGTATTTTGGGCACTGCTGGAATATAGGCCATAGCCTGAACAGCACAACCAGTGAAACTTCAATTTCTTATGAATTCATACCCTGTTTCTCTTGGGCATTGGACTCCATCATCCCTAGAGCAACCCTAGGAGTGCCCAAGACCCACTGGGACCCATTGGATGTGCTGCTTTCTCCTAATTCCCCCTGCCGCTGCCAATGCCCCCACCTGCCTGGGTGGGGGAAGCCAGCGTCTCCTTCTCCCTCTCCTCCTGCCAGCTGCTTCTCTGCAAGGCGCTCACAGGAGCACGGGAGTCCCTGGGGCCACTCCAGTGCTGCCTACCCATGCTGTGCAAGCCTGTCACTGCATGCCCTTGCCCTGGCTCTGGCAGGTGAGCCCCTCAAGAAATGGGGAGCTGCGCACGGGCTGCTCTCTGTGCTGAGCATGCTGCTCCACATCTCTTAAGAGGCGGTGTGAAGCACAGTTCTGTAATTCCTATTTCCTTGCAGCCATATGGCAAATACAGTAGCAGAGACTTGCAGCATTGCCTTGCCCTCATCCCCCCACCCTGCAGTTTTATTGGCACCGGGAACCTATATGTTAGCAGAAGAAGAAAGCGAATTGGCTGGACAAGAAGCTGCTCCCTTACGGACTGTGCAGGCAAAGGTCTTGTTTTGCAGGCCCTGTTCAGTAAAGTATTGCTCCAATAGGATGTGGTCCATGTCTTCCATGCCCTAGCTGTGTAGCTGCAACCAAAAGCCTTTAATGTAATGCATGCCTTGAGCCAGGTTACCACCTCTTTTTCCAGTGATGTTAGTTTTGTTTTCTCTCAGGGAACCTGCTGCATTACTTGGGCTCTGAGATGGTTATTGCGTGCAGGAAAATAGACATTTCCTTACAGGAGCCCTAGGCAGCCCTTTCCTAGATGACATGCATGTGAATCTGGGGTCCACAACCTTCAGGATGTGCTTCCCTCTGCCCCTGAGCCCTCTTTCTGATCCTCCTCATGGCCATCATGTAGTGGGTGCCCAGAATGG